CATGAGATGACCACGCTCGCTGCCTCCTGCACCTCAAAAATAATAAGACCTCCCCGAAAATAAGGCCAAGCGCTTATTTTGAGGGTCAAAAGAAAATAAGACCCTCTTATTTTCAGGGAAATCTGGTACACACACACACACACACACACACACACACACACACATTATAGATATAGATATATAGATATGAAAAAGAAAGACCTGTTAACTTTTGGAAGAGCTCTTTACAGCCGTTGCTGCCTGCCCTCCATCTTAGCTCCTCCCCACTCCAACATAACATTTGCTTATAGTTCTATTGCTTAAGTTTGCATTATATTGAATTCCAACATGACATGGTCATTCTCCCCCAAAGTTCCGGCAAGGTGAACCCCCTCTATTGCCTCTGTTAGCAAGAATAGAGTTCCAGTTTCCTTATCCTATATTGGGGTCTCTAAAATATTGTGGTATTTGAAGCCTTTATGAATGATAAAATGCAGGAACACACGGCTTCAGTAACTATGGTGAATGTCCAGAAGAGAATCTGTCTAACTACAAGGGATAATCATCAAGTCTATGCTGCACCAATCAGCATAGGAGAGGCAAATTAGATTTTCTCCCTGATCATATCCAGAGGTGGTATTCAGCCGGTTCTCTCTGGTTGGGGTGAACCAGTAGCGGTGGCTGCCCTGCCATAATGTGCGAGCACTGTGCATGCATAAAAGGCAGTGCGCATGTGGAAACACAGTGCATGCGAGCGAAGCCAGAGTGCATGCTCACATTTGCAAATCAGTAGGGAAGTTAAGTTAATCCCACCGCTAATCATATCCATATTCAAGATTACTTTTTCAAGTGACCAACCCCTATTTTTTATTCGTGCTGTGTTATGTAAAAAAACAATAACCATGCAGTGTTTCTTCCTCCCAAAATCTTCCCCTTCTTTTTCCAGTAATGAAGCTCACAAAACAGCAACCCTCCCAAGATCTAGGAGAGTGCTTAAAATAGATGGATCTATTTAAGTCTTTGCATTTGCTTTTATTGTTCGGTTGTTCTATCTTTTAATAACTGTTTGTATAGCTATTTTAATAGATTTTTGCAAGCTATCCAAAACTATGTATTTTAAATTGATAAATCAATCAACAACATATAGCACACATTTACATTGAAGCTTTTTACATGCACATTTCCTTCCTGATTTTTTTTCTACACTATAAAATCAAATCAAATAATTCTTTTTCTTTTTTTTAATTCACATGTTCAAAATTAATGCAGTATGTAGCTAAGAACAATTAGTCATTAGTCATAATATCGTTCTTCTTTATGTAAATGACAAAGTTAAATATTAGCTTACATAGAAAGAATAGATGTCAAGATGGAAAATTGTGTAATTCATTCCAATAAAACTTGAAACAGAATAGTATATTTTAGTACAAAATCATTGTAGACGTATTTTTAGTTCTCATGTTATGTTTTCAATATTTTTTAAAAAACTTAATAAGGGTTTATTAAATGATGGCATGTGTGTTTTGTATTCCTAAGAAGTGTGTTATCAGTGCATTTTACTAGTGATAAGTTGCAATTCAATCCTGTCCCCTTATTTGTCCTATTCTCTATGTCTCCTCATAGTCTCTATGTCTCAGTGGCTAGGACACTCAGTGGCTAGGACACTGAGTTTGTCGATCAGAAAGGTCGGCAGTTTGGCGGTTCGAATCCCTAGCGCCGCGTAACAGAGTGATCTCCTGTTACTTGTCCCAGCTTCTGTTACTTGCCCCAACCTAGCAGTTACAAAACATGTAAAAATGCAAGTAAAAAAATAGAGATCACTTTTGGTGGGAAGGTAACAGTGTTCCATGCGCCTTCGGGATTTAGTCATGCCGGCCACATGACCACGCAGACGTCTTTGGACAACCCTGGCTCTTTGGTTTTGAAACTGAGATGAGCACAACCCCCTAGAGTCGGGAACGACTAGCACATATGTGTGAGGTACCTTTACCTATGTCTCCTCAGTGAACATATGTTTACATGTGCACCCCATTTTCTATATCATTCGTTTTCCAAATACATCTAGAATATTTGGGGCCAACTTGTATTGGGGTAAAAGTGACCATAACCAGTGGAGAAACATCTTCCAGCCACAGATATTAAATAAAAAGCCACTCTAATATAGAGAATCTTGTCTCTTTCCTAGCAGATGCTATTCAAAATATTATCCAACATCTATGTGCTGAGAAATGTTTGCATACATACATTTATTCTGAGTTAATTCCAGAGTTTTCAACAACAGCGCTGCATAATGCAGTGGATGTATAGCATAAAAACAGCATCTCAACCAAATATCACTGAACCATGATTAATTGGATTAACTCAGTTGCTCAGGCTCACACAACACTTTGATCCCTAGACTAAATAGTCATGGTGGCTTTGTACAATATATTGAGTCATAAAGTAGTTAACTCCAGTTTAGCTTTGCAAACTATGTGAAACAAGCAGATCAAGAGGCTGTGTTTTCTTAGCCAAATAATCTCCAAAGGTAAATCTCTATTTATGTGTCTGTATAGAAGGTTGAATGTGATAACCCATTGATTTTTCAAACCCTAACTTGTCTTGTATCTCTTTTCTTTTGTTATCCTGGAGGCATGGTGGCATGCCCCTATTTTAAATACCTTTGCCTCCTTCCATCTCCTCCTCCCACCCTTCCAAAAAGTGTCAATATTTTATTTGGATTTTTAACTTCACTCCATAACAGTTGCTTGACCTCCTGACTCGTACAAGTCATATAAATTCTGAGACTTTATTCAGGAGCCATGTTCATGCTATTGAATAAGCAATTTGGGAGGATGAATTAATGACTTCTGCTGTTGCTGGAAAGTCCCTGAAGAAATATTAAAATTGCTTGCAGACTAAATCAATACTCACTGAACACCAAAGCATGAGATCTTGGAGAAACAAGTACTTGGAAAAGGAAGGGGAATTCCTGCATAAACCATCCACTTCACCCCGACTACATTTTTTTTTCCAAAAAAAGAATCAGCTGATTCCTCTTACTCGGGTTTTTAAAGAGGGCTGCCTTCTGACTTAGGAACAAGAGAAAGGTAATTCCTCTTCTTTTGTGTTTCTACAGAAACAGCAGCTGAGCATACCGAGCATCTGAGATCATCCTAACCTGACAACCCCTTACAGGATGGAGAGAGGTCAAGTCCAGATACTGCCTGCCAGCCATTCATTTCAACTAAAATGAAGGAACGTGGTAGATTTATTTGAAATGCTTTATATTGTTTTAAATGTGTACGCATTTTGAAATTGCTTACTACAAGATTATAAAAATGCCATGATGGGGGGGAAAAAACCATCTACTAGAAAGACAATCGTGGATTAGACAATGCCAAAAGTATGCCAACATTTAAAGCTGTTGAAAGGAGCTTGGCACAACAGCAGCAACTGAGAAAAAACAAAATAACCCCTCAATGTTTAACAGCTTAGCCTTAGAAGAAAAACAAATATCCACAGTGGACCACTGAGACTATTTTCAAGAGAAGAACACAACTAGCCAGAGGTTTTTCTAAAACATGCACAAGAACAAGTGAGAATGTATAAACGTTGAAATATCTTCACAAGCATATTTCTATCGTAAGAGAATAAATACCTACTCCTAGGCCAGTGATGGTTAACCTTTTTTGGCTTGGGTGCTGAGCATGTGCGTGCCATAGCACATGTGCATGTGCCCACACCCATAATTTAATGCCCCCTTCACGCCCCCCGTGCATGCGCGCATGACCCCACTCCCATCCCATTTTGGGCCTAGCAGGCTCTGGAGGCTTTCTTAAAGCCTGGGGAGGACGAAAACAGCCTCCCACAGCCCCCTGGAAGCCAGAAACCAATCATTTCCAAACTTTTGGTAGGCCGGTTGGGACCATTTTTCACCCTCCCCGGGATCTGAAGGCTTTCCTGAAGCCTGGGGAGGGTGAAAATGACCTCCACAGCCCTCCAGAAGGCCAAAAATCTTCTGGCTGGTGCACACATATGCACTGGAGCTGACCCTAGGGCAACGGCTTGCATGCCTGCAGATATGGCTCCGTGTGCAACCTGTGGCACATGTGCCATAGGTTCACCATCATGATACTAGGCTAAGTCAAAGAAAAAACAGCTTTTGAGAGCTCACTAAGATCTGTAGTACTTTCTGATATTCTGACAGACAAAAAGGACGAAGTTGGGTAGAAGCACTTTGACTAAGGTTAAAGCGACCTGGTCAGAGTGGCACAGGGTTGCAATTTGCTTTGACTAGCAGATTTCTCAGAAACATCAATCCCTGGTGGGGAGACCATTATAAGTTAGGGTGCAACTGCACAGAATATTAAGGAGCAATTCACCCCAACTATAGTTGTCAGGAAAATGTGCTAGAGTTTCATTTGTAGTCTTAGGCCAAACCCACTACTGCCTCGGTGATGAGGCTTGTGAATCTCCTGTCCTTTAAAGTGGGACAAGTTAAGAAAAGCTGTTAGTGAATTTCCCTGGTTTCATTTCCTCATCATGGAGTACTACCTCTCAGTAGGGGGGGAAATATTAGTCATTCTTCCTAACATATAGTGAGTCACAGTAGTGCAGTGGTTAGAGTGCAGTACTGCAAGCTACTTCTGCTGGCTGCCTGCAGTTCAGCAATTCAAACCTCAGCAGGCTCAAGGTTGACTCACCCTTCCATCCTTCTGAGATGGGTAAAATGAGGACCCAGATTGTTGGGGTCTGACTCTGTAAACCGCTTAGAGAGGGCTGTGAAAGCACTGTGAAGTAATATATGTCTAAGTGCAAAGCTTTCCAAGTGTGAATTTCACCAAGATAAAATTGATTACCTAGGTTACCGTATCTCAAATGAAGACGTGGGAATGGACCCAGAAAAGGTAAAGGCAGTGTTATAGTGGACCCCTCCCTGCACTAGGAGGCAATTGCAAAGCTTCCTGGATTTTGTCAATTTCTACCCCCAGTTCATCCTCTCATTTGCAAAGATTGCATTGCCAATCACCAACCTTTTAAAAGACTAAGGATGAGGGGGAGCTGAAGCCGGGTCAGCCACTTAAGTGGACCACAGAGTGCCAAGCAGTCTTTGAAAAACTCAAATGACTGTTTGCAGCAGCACCCTGATGCAAACACTCCATTTTTAATTCAGTAAAAGAACTGCTACAGCCATGCACACACACCTCTTAGAAACTCACCAATACTGAGAAGAGGTAGGCGAAATGGGGAAGGAGGTGTATGCAGTGCAGTGGGCCCTACTTATTTGGCAGCATTTCCTGGAAGGGGCATGGGCCCTGTTTGAGGTATGGACTGACCATAAAAATCTGGAAGCCCTGAAAACTCCATGCTGGCTATCTCCTAAACAAATCCATTGGGCTCAATACTTCAATCACTTCAACTTCGCCCTACATTATGTCCCGGGGAAAGAATTTTATGACAGATGCTTTGTCTAGGTTGCCCCAATACAACAGCTCTAAAGCTGAAGTGGCCCAACCTCAGTAACTACTACAGTTCAGGAGAAGAAGGAGCCTGAGATTCCAAATGAGCTATGTGGGAAGCTTAAAGAATTGCTAAAGGTTGATGAATGGCTTACTACTCATAAGAATGACTGCACCATGCATGATGGATTGGCTTGGGTCAGAGTCAAATTATTTGTGCCCTCAAGCTTGAGGGGCACCATATTAAAGGGCACTCATGACTCTAAGTCAGCAGGACATTTTGGATTTGTAAAAACCTTGCACTTGGTTAAGACACAGTTTTGGTGGCCCTCCCTGAAGAAAGATATTAAAAGCTATGTGGCTAGTTATCCAGTTTGTGCTGTGGCAAAGAGACCTCTGGGGAATCCCACGGGGCATTTACAGACTGTGGCGAGCCCCCAGACACTGTGGAAAGAAATATCTATGGACTTTATTGTGGAATTGCCTGAAAGTGGGGGGGACACACAATTATTTGAGTTGTCACTGATCTTTTTTCAAAACAGGTGCACTTTGTTCCCTCCACAAAGATGTTAGCCAAACTTTTCACACAACAAGTGCATAGGTTGCACAATAATGTGCCCAAGTGCATTATTTCAGAGTTTTGTTGGGAATTTTTTGAAGTTGTGGGAACAGCATACAGCTTAAGCTCCTCACATCACCCCCAAACTAATGGATCATTTGAGAGAACCAACTCAGTTCTGGAACAGCCCCTCAGGTGCTACATTAATTACAAACAGGACAATTGGATTGATCTTTTGCTTTTTTGCAGAAGCAGCATATAACAATTCTGTGTATAGTTGCACAGGGTTCACCCATTTAAGGTGGCCTCCGGTCAGGACTTTGTAACTATGCCAGAGCTGCCTCAGGAGGAATCACACATACCCTTCTTAGTGGAGTGGATAGCCCAACTGCAGAACACTTGCCCAGTTGCCCATAAGAAACGGGAGTAGGCATGTCAGGCACATAAGAAACAAGCTGACAAAAACATGTGAAGCCAAAAGATTTTAAAGTAGGTGATAGAGTTTACCTCTCCATGAAGTAAGTACTCCACCCAAACATCTAAGAAACTGGGTCCTAAATACATGGGACCATTCCCAATTGTTAAAGTAATTAACCCAATTGCTGTACAATTGGACTTGTCCAAGAACCTTAAATGTATTCGCCCTGTGTTTCACTGCAGTTTGTTGAAACCTGAAACTGTGCCACCCCTTTGCCCTGCACTTGACACTCTTCTTGTACCCCACTCTAATTGAAGGAGAGCAGCATTTTGAAGTTAAAGAAATTCTAGATTCCAGGAAACATAGAGGGAAGGTCCAATTCCTCATTGCCTGGAAACATTCCCCCCACCTCTTCACAGTGTGAATGGGTGGATGCTAAACAGGGCACCTAAACTCCTCCAGATTTTTCATAGAAAATACCCCGACAAACCCTGAAGAAATCAGTGTTCTTGGTGTGATGTATTGTGTTTTACCTGCATAAATTTTCTCTGTATGGCTAAAGTCTCTGTTACAAGGGGCCAAATGTCAGCTAGCCTGCTGCTAGAAAAGTGGGGGGGAGGGATCAGTGGGGAATTTTTCATTGCAACTTTGCAACTACAGCCTGAACTTTGCTTATCTCTCTAAGGACAGTTCTAGCCTTGGTATGCAGAAGCCCCCTGGTTGTCTAGCTACAAGGGGTTTGGGCTATGCGGTTTATTTCAAGTTGCTGTTTTCATGCACTTTGCCTCAGAGCTTGCCTGGAATTTTTTGCTTTTGGTTCGTTCCTAATAAAAGGACTTTTCTCTAAATCTACGGAGGATTTTTCTTTCCTAGGAAATGGACAGGAGCAGCCCTGACAGCTAGTCTTATTCTTTTTAAAAAAAATCAATTTTGGTACTCTTCCTAAATAATGCTAAGCTCCTGTTTGGGTCTAGTAGCTTTTTCAAGAATTTTACCTCATTACTGTATATAAAGATCCTGTCAAGAATTGACCAGACAATTTACAGGCAGTTGTTCCTGCAAAAGATAGTCTTCAGTGTCTGGATGGGAAAAGGCATGTTTGTAGCAGTCTCAACTGGCCAACCGGGGCTGGGCAGGTCCCAGCCTCCAACTATATCATTAGTCTCTTCATTAATGGAACATCATAGATTGGACTCATCACAAAATGTGTGGGGAGAAAAGGGAATACAATTGTTTTAAAACTAGAACAGACAAAAGATAAACCAAGGCCATTGTCATGAAGACATAATACAATAAAACAAGGGCATTTTCTGGTCACAACTAGAGGACCATAAAGACAAACCTTAAACCACAGGGGTCAAACTCATGGCCGGGGGGGGGGGGCAGATCCCGCCTGCAGGATACTTAGGTCTGGCCCATGGGGTCACCCTGGAAACAACGAAGGACTAGTCTGCCAGCAAAAACAGAGCTCAGGAGGGCTGGGGGTCCCCCCCCCCCGGGCTCCATTTTCACTGGCAGAGGGTTGCAGGAGGCCATTGCAGCCAAAAGTGGAGTTCGGGAGCCTGTTTTCGCTGGCAGAGCGCTCGGGCTGCCAAAGGTGCTCCCAACACAAGTGATGTCAAGCTGGCCACATCCACTCTGGCTCCCAAGGTCAACACAACCCTGATGAAACTGAGTTTGACACCCCTGCCTTAGACAGTTGATGATATTTAATGTACAGGTGAACTGTTTGTATTTCATTCAACAATATTTTTAACCCCCGAACGACTGTCTTATGACAAGAAAAATGCTGAGGTACTAGGGAAATTAAATGGTTTGGCAGCTTTGAGGAACTAGGCATAGGTTGTCACCATCCCTAAAGGAATGGGGGGCCT